AATGTTGAAGGAAGGAATAGGGTTCAAGGACTACCTACATGGACCAATGGATGCAGGAAGCAAAGCTAAGGTCAAATTCAGGACCGGGGACAGAGGCCTTCGAGAACGTCGACGAAGACATAGGACGGTAGACGAGGAAGACGACGAGTTCAAATGTGATTGCGGCTTCGAATGCGAAGACCGTGTTCATGTAGTCGCGGAATGTCCGTTGTACAAGAAGGAGAGGGAAGTGTACGTGACTGAGCTGGGAAAAATAGATGGAACCTACAGGGAGATGTTTGAGGGATGGAATAGAGAAGAAAGGACGGTAGCTGTACTGGGGCATAGGAGGTGGGTTGAAAAGGCGGGAAGGGATATCGTTAGGATAGACAGACTAGGGAAGACATTTTTGAGCCACCTTTGGCAAAGTAGAAAGGAACGATTGGCCATCGGTGATCGNGGTTATTTCAATTCCCCCCCGGGGTACCTGTTTTCCCACGAGTTCCCCCCGGGGGGGATGTATTTTCCTGATTTTCTGAGTCGATTTTGTTGCATCGCGGAGCGCAAAAAGCATGATATGGCGGGGAAAATTCATTTGCAGATCTGCGCATCGAGCGAGATTAAGGTGTACCGTTTGTCGCTGGAAGGCGGGCTCTTCCTCTTATTGGAATCATTCGTGGGACAAGACAAACTCCCCCAGCTGCTGTCCTCCTTGCTGCCCATGTCTCTTCGCCGCCGTTGCTCTTACGTCCCTCGTCCCTCTGGTTGTTGAACGCTTGCACGTTAACCTAATCCATCTCAGTTTCGCCACTCTCTGCGTGTCTGGTGTGTGGACCATCATTATTTTGCACAACCTCCCGGGGGGGGGCTTCCCCCCATGGAAGCGTTGGGAAAAAAAAACTAACCCCCCCAGTACGTCAATTTCCCACCCGGGGGTATGGTTTCAGAAAAAAACACGATCCCCTCCCCGGGGGGAAAACTCCGACGTTTACGGTATTCTACTTGCTGTGCTGACAGATCGGTTGAACACCCTCACCGCATTCGGCGTTGTTGTTCACTTCATCACAGATGCCTGAGGGAAGACCGTAGATGTCCATATCGGTGTTCGGCATGTCATGGGATAAGCAGCAAACAAGGGAACAAAACGAGCGTGAAAACGAGTTCTCAGCACGGCATGCCTTGCCTTTCAAGTGCTTATTTTATTTTTTCTTCACTTCAAATTAGCCCTCATAGCACCACTTGTGTGCTCCAACCCGTGGTTACACAGAAGGGCTCCCTCTGCCCTCCCACCCTGCGGTACGTTGCCTTCGATTTTTAATGCGAAAAGAGTTCAGCACTCTCTTCCCTCTGTGTACGCACGAACTAGCGCTATCCACTAGGCCAGGAGCAGAAGCGAGTAAAAAACTCACTTTGCAAGTAAAGGTCGCTTACGCCGGGATTCGAACCCCTGACCTGACGTTCTAGAAGGTTTCGAGGATACCAAGTAGACCACCGGGGCGACCATTGGGAGGATGTTTTGACTGCGTGGCTCTGACACGTCAAGTTCACCTTTGCCATGGCGAGTACTTGGATACAAGCTCTAACAACGCTCTACGGTCTACCGTCGTGAAGTTTGGCCACCGTCTCTACTGTAAGTTTACGTAAGTTAGCTCACCGTCGCTAATGTAAGGCAAGTTTCCTAAAATAGCCGTACAGTCCTCGTAATCCTCGTAAGGGTAGTCGCTCGCCGAGGGGTTCAGGCATTGCCGCGTGTCCTCCGTACACAGTCCAGCACTTGACACACAGGTGCTCGGACAGCAATCGCCCCCGTCGTACAAGCAAGACGCGATGTTGTTGGAACTATCGCAAACACCATCTTCGACAGTCGCTAGGCTTCCCGTGCATAGCTCATAGTCCGTGTAGAGGCCGTCGATGCTCCGCAATGGACTGAGGGCACAGCAGACCACGACCACGAGCCTGGTTGTAGACCTGCCGGTGGCGCGATGCTTCATGAGCACCTTCCAAACACCGATCGGTGTTTCCTCTTGTCGCGGATTCCTCGCCAGATTTCGGTGCTTTCAACCCACCTGGTTATTTCGCATTGTACCAAAGCAGGTAGATAAGACCATCGGTATTCACATTTCGCGCTGTTGCAGGATGTCTCCCTCGACATCCCGCACAGCTCCACCCTTCTCGCATTTCACTGCTGGGGTTGCTGGATCGCACGTTTCGCTCAGGTGCAAGAATACCCACCATTTAGCACATAAATTGGGCGTTGGGCGTTGTACACGTTACAGTTGTGGTCAAACGGTCGTGCAAAAAACACCGAGCTTGTGGCAGATGTGAACCCCACCAATGGATCGGGATGTAGTTGATCCATTTGAAGCGCTTTTCAATCAAGCTGCAAAATAAGCGTTTTTGCGGCTTGGGTGGTGGACGTAAACTACTCCAGATGGTGGCGTAATTGCAATGGAGAGTTCTTTAGGGATGCGAGACCCATATTCTGAGCCATCCGTGAACGAGCGCCTCCACCGACTTACAACACGAAAACGGTTTGACATGTAGATCAGAAAAATACTGCTGCAGAGCGGACAATAGGTGGCGCTCGCACTTCAGAACTTAGCAATGAACAAATGCATTCTCGAAATATTCAAATTTAAGAACTTGGCCATAAGAACACGAGCTCAGTTCCGACGTGGTATTAGAACAAGAACCCGCACTTGTGGTGGAATAATGCGCAAACAGATAAGAACAGACCCCCGGAACGCGGCAGGTGCAAGATAAAAACTCATGAAGTTGGTGAGGGGTGACTCACGGGGGTGTCCGGTGACCCCACCCACCGGCAGTTTCAGATCAGCGCCGAGGAGGGGGGTCTCCGTTTGATTTAGTACTGGTGCCGAGGGGGTGGGTGGGGCGACTTACTCTTATGTTTTGCATATCGTGGCGGGTAGACCAAACACCACGCGTCCTCGAAAGGACCCAGTATTGCTCCCACAGGAACGAAGACCGATGGCCAGTCGTTCCTTCCTACTTTGCCGAAGGTGTCTCAATCATGTTGTCCCGAGCCTATCTTTCCTATCACTTTCACTTTCCGCCTCTTCAACCCACGTTGAATGCCCAAGTACAGCTACCGTCTTCTCCTGGCTATTCCATGCCTCAAACACTTTCCTGTATCTTTCTACTTTTTCCCAGCTCAGTCATGAACAATTTCCTCTCCTTGTTGTACAACAGCCATTCCGTAACTACATGAACCAGGTCTTAGCACTCGGAGCCGCATCACATTTTACCTTGGTCGGTGCGGAGGGGGGGGGGGGGGGGGGGGGGAGGCGTACTCCTATGTTTTGCATGCCTTAGCGGTTAGGCCATTGNTCTACCTCTGTTGTACGAGGCATACCCTTCGTCGTGTGACATTGGGGTGCCCGCCACGCTGCGTGCCATGCACGAGAGCGATGTGTTGATCCCTTGAAATATTCAAGGAGCTCGGCCAACTGTCAAAGTTGAAAGAAAGAGGTTTCATTTCGACATTTCGAGGCCATCAAAGACCATACATACATGTCATTGCTGGCAACTGCCCACGAAGTCAGACTGGAAGGCCATCGACTCAACGCGGGGGCGGCGAACGCCTACCGGCAGCTCTTCCTTCGTCACACCCACCGTTTTCGAATTCAAGTGCCCAAACCCGCTGCTCTTGACAATTCGTTGCTGCAGTGTGGAGTACTCGTTGAACTGATCACAGGTTGGTTTGGTGAGCTTATCACTCGGCAGTCTCAGGAGCGTACCCGCCACCTTTACAACTATCGCCGTGCGCATTTCGAGCTAGACCAAAGTACGCGCCGCATGAATTGCCGTTGGACAAGTACAGCGGAGATGCGGTAGGGTCGTGGGCTTCGCTTGAAGGGAGCGCCGTAAAATAGAGCAGGGGGGAGGTCCAGCCATCGAAGAGCAGGGTGAAGGTTGCAGTGTAGGTGAGACGGGCGCTAGTAGAGCGGGGAGGACAATCACGCCGAACGTGACCCTTGTGGACCTCCGTTGTAAATGCCCTACTGTTTGCTCCGATGCGTCATTATCTCAGGCGATGCCGCGTCTGAATTTCTACCCTATGGTGATCGCGGAAGCTGTGGTACGTCGGTTCCAGAGGTCTCTGTTGAACGACGTTCTACTAACTCTGTTTAATGAATACGCTGCTTCGAAGTGTTGGTAAGGAGTGTTGCTGTAGGGCCTAGATAGGGTACATCTTGGTCTAGAATAGGATGTGGGTTGTCCGGGAGGTATAACTCTGAGGGACCATACCACATCATGACTCAGCTATCTGCGTGCCTCCTGGTTGACAGGAGGATTCCCTCCTCAACCAGACCTTCCTCGCTCTCAAATCAAGCAACATCTCATTTCTACACAATCGTGGAGACAAGGCATCAAGCGACCGTACCTCTTTCTTTTCCCTAGGACCCAGCTGCTTTCAACAGCTGGAGCTCCTTTATATCTGGCGTCGTCTGGCAAGTCTCCGGGTAAGCTAGCGTTGGACGCGGCGCTGTGCTCCCGTTGTTGCTTGGTGTTTTCTCTTTTTTCTGATTGCTTGTTGCTTGCGAGTTTAGGTCTCACCAACTACGAGAGCTTGTTTTGGGTGCCCCGGACACTCAGGGATCGGATGCCTGCCTACGATGCGTTTGCCGCGAGCGCACGTGAATGGGATCTAGCGATGGATTTTCGCATCGGAGATGTCTCAGGCGCAGCAGGAGACTTTTCGTATGTTCGTCAACCTCCTCGCGCTTTTCTCTCTGTGACTTCGTTGCACGAGGTCATTTCAGTAGCAGACCAAACTTGTTCACGGCAGCCACAGGTACTCGCTTTGTGTGGTTGTGCGCGAGATGGCAGCATGTTTCCCTCATCCACTGCCAAGACCGCTTTTGAGCCCGCATATCGCGCGGCATCTATCTGCTGATTATCCGGTGGTGCTGTCGGATGTGACTCCGCACACCGCCAGTTGGCGAGCTCTTCCTGTGCACCATTTGGGTGTGCGCCACGCCTTTCGCTTCCCGTCTGGTTTTCGCGATAATGTGACTGTATTTTTTGGAACATTTTTATCTTTGAAAGCCGTTGAGCTGGAGCAACACCCCCCTCTCGAACCGATGGGCGTGACCGAACGCACACCCTCTCGCCTCGTATCTGAGCGGTTGGCCACGTTGCGCACTTTTTGGTCGGGGACTTTAGTGTCTCCGTCCGATACAGGTTCTTTTGTGCTGGCGTCCACGTCCGTATGGTTATGGAGCAACGACATTTTGAATGCCTTTTCTACTTGGTTGGCTCCGCTTAAATGGCCGCGATACTCTTCCTGCCGAACGCAATTGGACCGCTTTGGATTTAGAGGCTGGTAGCATTGTCTGGGCTATTGAACGGTTTCGCGGATACCTTTGGTCGACCAAGTTTGTCATGTATTCTGATCACAAGGCTTTGGAGAGCATTGGCAAGGTTGGCCAACACAATCCTCGTGTGCAATGTTGGTTGGAGTTTTTGTCCAACTTCACGTACACTTTGGAGTACAGGAAAGGTTCGGCGGATGGCAATGCGGATTTTCTTTCGAGACTGCCGTTGCCAGCGAGAGAGGAGGACAAGACCGGTCCCGACAGCATGGACGGTATTGACCAAGCGGGTGTTTTTCTCATCCGGGCTTGCGGGTTCACCTATCATTCGTCTTCTACACCGGAGGTCGGTTCGGGTCGGCTCCGCCCTCCTTGTTCCGATGGCGTTTTTCCACCCTCTGCGTTGGAAGATTCGGACTATGGAGATTTTCGCAGACATGGACCACGCATGGACGAGCTTGCATTTTCGCCTCCTTCTGGAGACGATTGCAGGAGTTCTTCGGGAGTTTTCGCGGTTTCGCCCGCTTCTAGAGATATTGTGCCTATTTCTGCGTCCCCTTTCGTACCTATCAAGTCGCATTGTCCCCACCAGCATGTCCAGGTTTTGTCTTCGTTCTGGAACAACGACCCCTTGTTTCTTCGAGGACTAGGGCCAAGACTTCAGCTGCGTCAGGTTCTCCTGTCGCTGGCCCCACATAGCCAAGGGCTACTATAGACCCTCGTGCTTCGTCGCCTACTCGTCACCCTAGCAGGTCTCGTCGGACGGCCAAGACAGCTGGGACTAATCCCCGCTTGTCTCGGACTCCCGCGACGCCTACATCGGCGCCTTCGTCGACTGTTCGGTACCNACAGCATGGACGGTATTGACCAAGCGGGTGTTTTTCTCATCCGGGCTTGCGGGTTCACCTATCATTCGTCTTCTACACCGGAGGTCGGTTCGGGTCGGCTCCGCCCTCCTTGTTCCGATGGCGTTTTTCCACCCTCTGCGTTGGAAGATTCGGACTATGGAGATTTTCGCAGACATGGACCACGCATGGACGAGCTTGCATTTTCGCCTCCTTCTGGAGACGATTGCAGGAGTTCTTCGGGAGTTTTCGCGGTTTCGCCCGCTTCTAGAGATATTGTGCCTATTTCTGCGTCCCCTTTCGTACCTATCAAGTCGCATTGTCCCCACCAGCATGTCCAGGTTTTGTCTTCGTTCTGGAACAACGACCCCTTGTTTCTTCGAGGACTAGGGCCAAGACTTCAGCTGCGTCAGGTTCTCCTGTCGCTGGCCCCACATAGCCAAGGGCTACTATAGACCCTCGTGCTTCGTCGCCTACTCGTCACCCTAGCAGGTCTCGTCGGACGGCCAAGACAGCTGGGACTAATCCCCGCTTGTCTCGGACTCCCGCGACGCCTACATCGGCGCCTTCGTCGACTGTTCGGTACCGCCGGTGATTTCGTCGTCGTCTGTGACCCCTTCTTCCCCGGTTTCGCCTTCTTCTAGGTCGTGACCTGGGACCGCGCATTTTTCTGCATCTTCTTCGGCTGGTTCGTCAGGAGATTCTTTTGATCCAACCGCCGACGATTCTTACTATTTACAGGATAGTGTCCAGAGTTTTAACACTGTGGATTGGGCTCAGGAACAACAGCAACCATGCGTTTTCTCTCCCGAGGTTCTCCCTCCCTACCTCCGTCGAGTTTGTTGAATGTACCTGCCCCCCTTCGCTCCCCTAAGCTACCGGGAT